GGCGGGCCGGGGGGCCGGCACCCCAGGGCCCGAGCTGACCCAGGCTGGAGACGCCGGGGGGGGGCCAGCCTGGGCCGCGCCTCCTCCCCCCACACCCCCTCTTACCTGCTTCAGGCTTCCCGCGAATCAAATATTCGCGGGAAGCAGGGGAGGGGGCGGAGACTTTGGGGAGGGGGTGGGGGAGGGGGCGGGGGTGTGGGCGGGGCTGGGGGCGGGGCCGGGGGCCGTGGAGTGTCCTCCATTTGGAGGCACAAAATATGGTAACCCTAGGTACCGCAGGGCTCTCTACTCTCGCAGAGAAAAGCAGAACAAGAACCGACGGCTGGAAGCTGAAACCAGACAAGCGCCTACCGGAAATGAGGCTCCCGTTTTCCCCAGTGAAGGTGATTAACGCTTCGCACAAATTCCCAAGAGAAGCGGTGGATTCTCCGTCTCTCGCTGGCTTCAGATCCAGACTGGAGGGTGCTTTGGCCAAACGCATTGGTCCATACAGGGGGACCGGGTGAAATCCACCGGCCTGTTCTCTACAGCAGGTCAGACTGGAGCCCGTCGTCCAGCCGGAACAGCGACGAAGCCATGAAAACAATCCTCTGAAGAAATGTCCCCAAGGGTGGCTGATCCTCAAAGTGTCCACTGCAGGGTTCTCGCGCCTTCCTGGTGGCGGGCAGTGTCAGAGGCAGGGTGGGCCGCTAGGTCTGATCCAGCGAGACAGGGAGGTTCGGCTTGATGGGGCACGGGCCAGAGGTCTGAGAGCAAAGAGGGAGGAGGCTGTGGATTTCCGTGGTTCTACCCCCCTGCGCGCTGGAGAATTAGAGGATTAAAACCAATGAGCTCGAGCGGTGCTGTAAGGGGGCTGTCACAGCGAAGTGACCTTCCTGTCCCAGCAGCCTGGACACCTGGGTCCCCCAGCCCCATATATGTGTGCATCTGCAGCCCCAGGGATCACTGGCCGCCGTGAGCAGGGCGCCAGCCAGGCACAGGGGAGACGCAGCCAGAGGCAGCCCCCAGGAGGGAGAGAAACAGCAGCAGAGGCAGGAAATCGGTGCCAAGAGGAAACGGTTGCAGGGACTCGTACCCTCAAGCTTTGAGGCCAGAAGGGACCATCGTGATCATCTGGTCTGGTCTCCTGCACATCGCAGGCCTCAGGGCCTCGCCCATCCACTCCTGCAATAGACCCAGAACCTCCGCCTGAGTCACGGAAGTCCTCAAATCATCAAGTTACTGAGAATCCCCCTTTTGCACTAGTTTAAACCTGCAAGTGCCCCATGCCCCATGCTGCAGAAGAAGATGGTGAGGGGATTGGAGCTGACCCACAGGTGGGACAGGAGAACCCTCCTCCCCAAGCCAGCTCCGAGGCGACAATGGGGGTGGGCAGGGGTCTGTGCAGCTGAGCCCTGTGGGGGCCTGAGGAAACAGAAGTGATGGGGGCTGGGGCCAGAATTAATTGCTCAGCAGAGGGGTGGGCAGACATGGGGGTGACAGCTCCTGCAGCGGGATCCAAAATCAGGATGCTCAACTCTGGGAGGGGAGTGGGGTCTAGTGGGTTAGAGCAGGGGGGTGGATAGGGCTGGGCGTCAGGACTCCTGGGTTCCATGCCCAGCTCTGGGAGGGGAGTGGGGTCTAGTGGGTTAGAGCAGGGGGGTGGATAGAGCTAGGCGTCAGGACTCCTGGGTTCCAGGCCCAGCTCTGGGAGGGGAGTGGGGTCTAGTGGGTTAGAGCAGGGGGGGGGATAGAGCTAGGCGTCAGGACTCCTGGGTTCCAGGCCCAGCTCTGGGAGGGGAGTGGGGTCTA